ACCACTGCGAGCCCCGCCCCGACGGCCATGCCTACTTGTCAGCGCGCACATAGATTTTCAACACATCAACACATTGGACTCCGCCCATTCTTTAAAGGGTTTGTTGCGAACTTCGAAATTTCATAACTTTTTCAACTTTTTAATTTCACATCCACTCTTTGCACAACGAAGATACTCGTACCCGCGCATTTATGCACTGGCAATTTAGGCTCCGCCCCTTGGCCACGCCCACTTGCTTTTTGCGGAATTTTGATATTTTTTCAAAATTTCTGCATTTTTGGATCTGCTACATGCAGCCCCGCCCGCTGTGAGGCTCCGCCCACTTCGGAATAACCCCGCCTCAGTTCTCAAAAATGGTGCAAATCGGCAGCATAGTCTCGGCATACACGGCTAGGGTATATTACTGGCCATTTAAAACAAACCCTGCCTGATTTATTTGTTCCGTTATAGTTTGATTTGAAAAAAGGTGAATTTGGTTGGAAAAGAGGTGAATTCAAAGTGGAAACGATATATACCCTTGGATGCAACCCTTCGGATACTCACTTCATGTACTATCCAAATTGTAGAACGATTCTATAACTGCAATTATAGTCAGGAGATTGATTTAGCTCGACACCAAGATTGTTAAGAAGTCTTTATTCGGCTGACGTTTCGGCGTCGTCGCCGTCTTCAGAGCCTGGAAAGCCGGAAGACATTTTCGAAACTACTCATCCAACACTATTTCAACCTACAGAAAAAGTTCAAAAGGGGTCGTAAGCTACTGTGATGATGTCATGGGAACAATAAAAAACTAACCTTTAGGAAGTCGACCAGTGAGGTCCAGCTCATTCCAGGCCACCCGATGCGGGTGGCCTGGTTATGAGCTGGACCTCATTGGTCGACTGTGGAATGACTTTTGGAGGAGTTTGATCTACACGATCAACCCTCGGGAGGTCCCTCAGTGACCTGGAGGCCTACCTATTTAAGCCGCTTTACTAGTAGAACGGGGTAACAGGTGGACCTCACTGGTCGACTTCCTAAAGGTTAGTTTTTATTGTTCCCATGACATCATCACAGTAGCTTACAACCCCTTTTGAACTTTTCCTGTAGGTTGAAATAGTGTTGGATGAGTAGTTTCGAAAATGTCTTCCGGCTTTCCAGGCTCTGAAGACGGCGACGACGCCGAAACGTCAGCCGAATAAAGACTTCTTAACAATCTTGGTGTCGAGCTAAATCAATCTCCTGACAGTACTGAGAAATATGCCAAGATTTATCGACAGTCGCACTTGGACACTGCAATTATTGTTTATCTCCGGTCAAGGGCACATCAGTATTTTGAAAGGTGAGAGCAAGTCTAAAGAATCGCGATATGGTTTTTTTTGCCCATAAAATGCCACTTACCAGGAAAGGTCAACAGGTCAGCCTGGCCATTTGCAATGAGATGCACATCACTGTACTCATCTTGACACGGTGAACTCAGAACTGTCTTCAAAATTTGCAGAACGATTCTCTGAGCGGAGTTATGGAGGGTTTTATCCCCGCATTGTCGTTTCACATGCTATCGCGAGGAAACGTGGAAGCGTCTTTACATTTATGTATGGAGTCATTCTGAAACGTGGTAGCAGAGCGCAACGGGTAGGGAGCGGGTTTCTTAGGCGAGACGTCGTAGGATCGGTTCCGGGGCAAGTCCTTTTTTTGCATTTGTCCAAGAACATAGCCGACAAAGCTTCTAACATCTCTGCTCGCCTGCACTACCCTATAAGGGAACCTGCAATCAGTTTTTTTTCGAAAGTGTAGACCCATTGTGGCCTGAAAGAGTGCTTCTGCTTGTACCCCTCGTAACACGTGTCACAAGGGTTTTTGCAATGAAATACCATCATATTCATGTTCAGCGGGTTAAATTACCCCTGGGGACAAGTTTCTAGCCGAATCTGATTTTCGACCTCACTTGGAAAATGTGGGCTATTCCATGGGTAATTAGCAGCAGATTGGAGCTCACCTACCATCGATGACTGGTCTCGGAATGGGATTTCCTCCCGATAGTCAAGAAAATGATGCAGACGGCACAAATAAGTAAGCCAGGTACTGTTGTTTGCGAAAAGACATGACTGAAGAGTTATTTCAGTTCGAAGACCAGTCATCACCAGTATGCTAGTCATAGTATCGATGTTGGCTATCAGTCAGCCATGACTATCCATACCCCATTTTTTCGAAGTTGAGTCAGAAGCTCAGATTTTGCTAAGGTGACGTCTCTAGGGGTTATTTGACCCCCTGAACACGAATATGATACCTGTTTTGCGCGAAGAGCGCTGTGAGTCGCGCTACATGTGCCAACGCGCCAGCGCGCCCGTAAGAAGAAAAACAGTAAAGAAACCTCCATAACTCCGCTCAGAGAATCGTTCTGCAAATTTTGAAGACAGTTCTGAGTTCACCGTGTCAAGGTGAGTACAGTGATGTGCATCTCATTGCAAATGGCCAGGCTGACCTGTTGAACTTTCCTAGTTGGAATCGCCATCTACACTGTTCATGGGCGGGAAAAGTCCACAAAAGCTGCGATGAGCTCGTGCGACGAGAGATAAAGCCAAGAACAGTTGACAGCACGGTTTGCACGAAAAGTGGAGTCCGACATGATATGGACATTTTTCTAATTTTTGCAACGATCACAGATTTTAGTCCTGGTTTTAGCATTCCCCAAAACCTAATAGACCGGAGATCAGTACCGGGAGCCGCATCGAAAATGTATATCTCACTGAAAACGGCCATTTTGAACAGGCCCTGGTAAATCTCACGCTGCAAGTTTTCCCATTGAGACCCGACGAGCTGCCTGACAATTTAGGAAGAGATGGCATAAAGAGAAATGGTAGACAACGCTCAACCTCACACTATCCACTGAATTATTTCAATGAAAAAGAATGTGGGACAGCTTGGGCCATTTCAGCAAAAATGATATGAGAAATGTTTAACTAACGAAACTAGACTAACAAATACTCTAGTACCCGCAATTATAAAAACCCCACTTTCTGAAGCGCTTGGGCGAGACCATTGAGCGTATCGACGTGTAGTTCATCTGTTCCACTAGCTGTCGTCTGATTGGAAACATGTTCATCCTCTTCCTTAAAACATTGGATTGATATTCTACAGAATTATTCTATTATCGATTCTTCTTCTATTTTTAATTTTTATACTAGAGACCTCAGCCTAAATCTCGAAAGAAAGAAGAATAGTTTCAAAATCTCGAAAGTATATCGGTTAACGTATACATGTTCGGAAAATCAATTTTTGAGCTGTACTCCACTACAAGCAAAATTTTGAGAGATTTAAAAAAAAAACTGGAGTTGAGTAAACGAAGATGAATTTTCGCAACAAGAAACCCCTGCGAAAAGATGAGAGCAGAACTGAAAGAGCTTTCCCCCGGCTTACGGACTACAGATCGCGAAACTCCTGAAGGAATCCGGAAATTCATTTGACTTTGGAAACAGTACTCCTATTCTGATGGTTATTACTTCAAATAAAACTGATTATTATTAACCTTGGAAATTGGGCATAAAGTTGGAGAAGCAAAATATCGATACCAAGCTAACAAACACCAGCACATCACGACGATA